CCCTGATTTGGATTGTGCCCTGAGGTTGGGAGCCGCTGGTCTAAGATATGCCTCCAGTCAAAAGAGTGTTGCAGTCCCAATTTGTTGGCTTCTGCAGACAGCTTCTTCAAGCAGGCACTGCAACCTGCTGCTGCCCACATGTTGTAATCTTCTGCCTACTGTATGCTATTACAGTTTTCCTAGTAATGACAGCCACCCACTATTCCTTCCCCAGCTAAGGATTCTCCTGTTTATATTCTTTTATTAACTCTCCCATCCCCTTTAACATAGTCCTTCCTAACCTTGTCAAGATGAGGCAAATAAAAAGCATAGCCATAATGTTTCTATACTTGGTAACCAAATCCTGCTCATTCCTGGATGAGATTGCCAACAAGAAAAAACAACTATGTGGCCAGTCTCTGAAGATTTAATAGCTTAGCCTATGAAAGTGTTTCTAAAAATATTGTCCTTGTCTATGCCACATGGGGAAACTAATTTATGTAAGTGCTAGATTTGAAACAGTTTGTAGCACCATTTCACTTACTGGAACAAAGACAAATGTTGAAGAATGGTGGTATTTTGTGGTGTGAGTAACAGCAAATCCTCCAATATAAGCAAGTGTGTGACTGAAGCTGCTTCTGCCTCTTGCACTTCTGTGGAGGAGAATTCAGCAAATCAATGCTAATTCATTGCTCTGGATTTCTATCAATATTGTATAAGGACTTTTTCCCATCATTGCACTGGGATCACTGGCAGGAAGGTTAAGATATATAATAATGAGTATTGACCAAGTACTTTCACTCTTCAGCAAAGGAAGAAAGTATTCCTAAATTGTTTTTATCAGGGAATAAGCATCTTTGCTCAATGGGAGTTGCTTCAGTAGGTGTTACAGTAAGCCAAATAAGAACACTCCTTGATTACACAACATTGATGTTCTTGATTAAGGACACAGGAATTTCTGACATGTAAAGATTACACTAGAAAGTATTTCTCAGTTGCCTTTTTTTCCCCTCATACAGTGGGCCAGATGGAGAACATTTCACCTGGACAAATCATTGATGAACCTATTCGTCCAGTTAATATTCCACGAAAAGAAAAGGACTTCCAGGGAATGTTAGAATTTAAGAAGGAGGATGAACCAAAACTGATCAAGAATCTTATTTTAGGTAAGTATCTTCCCCATTTGCAAAAGACACCATATAGGGACATATGATTTACCTGGTAACTGATTGGTTTATTTTTGGCATTTCAATTTGGACGGTGTCTAGGTTACTTAATGTTTTAGAGGAAAATGAAATGCCTTAATGAAGTAATCCAATTGTGTAATTCTTTATTGTAACATTTCACTTCTTGGTTAGCCTATCAGATTTTGACAGTATTTTTTTTTTTAAACATAGTTTTAACAGGCCATTTTTTTCTTGATTCAATAGCTTTGTCAACATTTTTTTTACTGAGAACACTGAGTTTTTATTACCTGCATCTATGCTGATTGACTGGAGAGTTATAGTTACCAAACATGATACTGTCTAAAGAGTTTAGACTTAATAAAAAGCTGTTTGTTTTATCCCAAGATCTGAAACCACGGGGTGTGGCAGTCAATCTGATCCCGGGACTACCAGCCTATATCTTGTTCATGTGTGTTCGGCATGCTGACTATCTTAATGATGATCAAAAAGTGAGGTCACTGCTAACTTCCACTATTAATGGCATCAAAAAAATATTGAAGGTTAGTTTCATTTGTTCTGTGGAAATTGTTACTTGAAATCTGCTTTTACTTCTTCTTTTTTTTAAGAAGATAAAAAGGCTCTCACTGATTTGGCTCTGGATCTCTAGTCAGTAAAACATTCTCACTGATAATTGCATGTCTCAAAAATACAACATTATCTATCTGCAAATTATAGCTATAAACAGAATTAGTTTCACAATATACTGTCAGCAATTAAGTAAAATATATTTTAGAATAACCTTAGTTTGATCCTCAAGACCCTATATACCAGCCTCTGTACAAGTATAACTTCATGCACATAGTCACTTGCACGTTGGTTGTTTTTCATAAATCCCTCCCAGTCCTCTCCAGAACACTATCCAAAGCATTTTACTTGCTGTGTGGGTTGGGAGATTCTCTGGTCTGTATCTGTATTTGCAGCTCATGTTAATGGCAATAAATAACTGCTGAGATCTATGGTGCCATAAGCTTACTAGAAAGATTTAGGCTAGTGATGGCATGTAGCCAACATTAACACATTTAAAGATTTTCCTCAAGGTCAGTGGTTCTCAACCTTTTTGTACTCAAGGCACCCCCCATAACTTTTGTGAATGAGTGATACCCAATTTCAAAAATGAATTTATACTTTACAGTGCTTACCTCCTAGTAGTGGGGATGGGAATTGATCAGACAGGGGCAAACCTGAGGTTGCACTTACCTGCTTAGTTTATCTGCTTATCTCCTAATAGGGTGCCCTGGCACCCTGGTTGAGAATCACTGCCCTTGGTAGTTTCTCCATGCTTCATGGAGATTTTCAGTTGCTATACAAAAACTAACATGAATGTGTAAGATATTTAAGTAATCTATACCTTTGGAAAAGGCTTAGTAAACATCAGTTGTACAGCTTTTAAGGCAACATATGTAGGAAAACAAAATGTATATCAGTTATGGTATAGAAGGTTGTGAATTTAATTTTTCTGGAGATATTTTCTAGATTTCAAAAAGGATACTTAACTTTTTTATGGCTGTTTTCTCTTGCTAAGGTGACACCTATGAGGTTTACCAAAACTGCTATAAAGTGGTAGAGAAATGCCTTAAAATTCTGCATTGTTTTCCATTATTTCTGCTGCCTGCATTTGGTTGTACTAACCCCAGTAATGCTGTGACATGACAAAAGATGTTTTCATACAATAAAGTGCATAATAAAAACAGTCACTTTGATTGCAGCTTAGTTAATGCTATGGGGGAAGAATGTCTAAGAATAAGAACAGATAAAGCTAGCAGAAGAAAATGGATCTATAATATTTACTTTTATTTCTGTTCTTGATACAATTTTCTTTTTTAACTTGGCCTATCAATCTGAATTCAAATGTGTTTGTTTTTGTCCTCAGAAAAGGGGGGATGACTTTGAAACGGTCTCCTTCTGGCTGTCTAACACCTGCCGATTTTTGCACTGTTTGAAGCAGTATAGTGGAGAAGAGGCGAGTAACTCCTTTTAAAAATATATATTACTATATGCTGCACTTTAAAACTTTCCCTTTAATTCACTCTTTTGTTAAAATGGGTACAGCTGTTATAAGGGCACTAAACATTTAGCTCCAATAGCCTGGATTCTAATGTGGCTTGGCTTGATAACTGTTGAAAGTATGAATTGAGGTTACAAAGCTATTGCATTGTTTGATTGTTCAAAAGTGATCAAGAGAGGCACAGGGTAGAATAGTACAGGGATTTATAGACCAGAATGGGATTGCACAGTGTCCTCAGGACAGTTATCAATCTTTTATACTTTTCCCCAATCACAAACACAGCTCTGGTATGTGTTCTCATTAGATCTCAAAGGTAGGCACATCTAGGCTAACATCCAGATTTTTTTGAAAGCGATGATAAGTCAGTAGGTGGTGCTGCAGATCTACATCATGATCTAGCATCCCAACGAAGGGCACTAGGTTGCTGCAGGTCTCCATTTTCAGGTTACACAAAATAAAGATTCTCACTACAATTTTTGATCTTTAAAAAGTTGTGGCATTCCCTGTAAAGGGATATATTAACCCTTAACTCAGTTGTGATTGTCAGATTTCAAATATGTTAACCAAGTTCTGCCTATCTAATTATATCCTACGAATTTATCTGGGCATTATAGGAGGGATTCTGGCCACAATGGGCCACCTTAATTCTCTGAGTTGGAGTGGGAGAAATCCCTCACCTGCCAAAAAGCAGGCAGAGCCAGATTCTCCATAAGATTCTTGAAGTTTCAGGGCAGAAGATAGACATCATGCAAGAGACACCCAAAATCCAAGTCCCCGTGCTAAGTGTGAGAAAAAACAACTTTCAAATTAAATGTGTTAAGGGATCTTAGGGCAGCTGTAAGTATATTTTTCAAAAAAGTATTATTTGCCCATGGTGTGATAAAATATAAATCCTACTTTATATAAAATATAATATAAAACGTAAATGCATTTGCTCCCATTGTCTTGTGAATTCAGGGGTTTATGAAGCACAATACACCTCGTCAGAATGAACACTGCCTCACCAATTTTGACCTGGCTGAATACAGACAAGTGCTGAGTGACTTGGCAATTCAGATCTACCAGCAGCTTGTCAGAGTGTTGGAAAATATTCTGCAACCAATGATTGGTAAGACAAAATTCCTCTAAATTTGCAACTGGGATAATCAAGAGAAGTTTGGGGGTTTTTTTAGCAATGAGAATGGTACTGTATGAAATTTTACGTGGTACAATTTTATATTAAAGAGCCCTACAGTACTCTGTTTGTAGGTGACAAGCACTGCAAAGAAGAAACTGGGTGAGAGGAAAAGCATAACTATCCTATTTCCTTTGACAGTGACAGAATAGGTGGATGTACCTCATAAACAGGGATCCAGGTTTTACATTTCCTGTGGAAAAAATAGAAAAAAACTGTGGATTTCCCCTTTTAATCAAGAAAAGCATGGATTTTTCATTTTAATGGAGAAACATGCAGGTTTTCCACTTATGCAACAAGCTCTCTGCAGGCTGGCAAAGTTCCAGCCTGCAAGGGGCTGGAGGGAGCAGGAGGAGGACAGTCAGGCCAGGGGCACCATGTGCACGTGCATGCCCACACGTGCACATGGCCACCAGGCAGCCCGGAGAACAGCTCTCACAGGTAAGTCTGGTGAGAGAGGGGAGGGGGATTGAGACCCCTATAGAGAGGAAGGGAAGGACGGAGGCAGGGAGGGAGTTGGGCAGTGTTGGGGATGCTGCCCAGCTGGGCAGTGTGTGAGGCTCGGGGCCCCAGGGCCAGAATGCATGGCTGCAGGTTCCCAGTAGGAAGCGGGATGGGGCCACAGGCAGCTTGTCTGGAGAGGGGGAGGCTGGCTCCCTGCTGCTGTGTGCACTTCCAAGGTGGCACGTGCCCCCCAGATCTGTGCACAGGACAGGGTTGGATGCAATCTGGCTCCTGTGGGCTTAGGCTTCCCACCCTGCTACCTTGCCCTGGGGCCTCCACAGCCTAGCCAGTGGGATCCAGCGTAGCAGGGCAAAGCGGGGCCAGGTGGAGGAGCTCCTTGCCATTGCAAACCCCGTGCCATCATGGAGAGGCGTCCCCCGCCTGCCTGGCAGCTGCTGGGGCAGCAGCATGGAGTTGTACCCCTTGCTGCTGCCAGGAAGGCAGGGGCGCTTTGACACGGCGGGGGGGGGGGGCCCCCCCCCCCCCCCTGCCCCTCTGGATCCCACCCACTGGGCTGCAGAGGCCCCAGAAGGAGGGCCACAGGGCAGGGATCCCTGAGTCTGCAGCAGGCAGGCCTCCACACCCCCATGGGCTCCACTCTGGCCATGCTACCCACAAGGCTCTGCGCTCCACTCCCTTGCAGCAGCTGCTGACTCCCACAGGAAGCAACCAGGGCTCAAGATGCTGCAGGGGGATGCAGACACGGGTCCCTAGCCCCATAGCCCTGGCAGCTGGGGGCCCCCACTAGCAGGGCTAGAGGGAGGGGGGATTAGGGTGCTTTGGGTGGGGAGTGAGGGGCACCAGCAGGGCTGGGGAGGCTGTGGTTGGAAAGTGAGAGGCACGAACAGGGCTAGAGAGCTATGGCTTGGGAGTGAGGGGCCTGACCTGTGTCCTGGTGAGTCAAGGCGGAGCTCTGATTTTCCATGATAAAAAACCCCAAATCAAATGCCAAAATGTATAGGTACTTAGAATTTATTTTTTTACAGTGATTGAGGCACTGGTAGGCTTCCAGATGGCTTTAAAATTGTAAATATATCAATACAACATTTTTGCGGCTTTTAATCAGAGAATTTGCATTTTTATCAGAGAATGGTTATTTTTAAACAGAAAAAACAGGATAAATGATGTAGTGACATAAACAGTGATGAAATACTTAATAATGACATTTAGGGTATGTCTGCATTGATGATTAGGGTTTCACTAAAACCTGTACCTGCCAAAAACCTATACTGCAACCCCCTTAGATCAGCTCCTAGTACAGGGGTGGGCAATTATTTTGGGCAGAGGGCCACTTACTGAGTTTTGGCAAGCTATCAAGGGCCACATGACAGGCAGCCTAGGGCAGATAAATATTAATTTTCTAAATTTTTTAGAGGCCCCATGGGCCAGATAGAATGGTCTGGCAGGCTGCATCTGGCCCTCAGGCCGCATTTTGCCCACCCCGTCCAAGTAGCAGTCCAGCTTTACTCTGGAAGTTTCACTTCCAAATATGAGATTGAGTCTGTTGTGCAACACCTCCTATCCCGTCCCTTTCTGATATGTTTGGAACTTAGCTGGCTGTGCGGAGAGGAGGAAGAGAGAGGCATCCAAAACAAGAAGTCTGCCAACAAGACCCCACAATCTCTGTTTTTGACTTCTGGTCTGGACCTCACTCTGTCTTCCTCCTCTCTCTCCTGCTCTTGGGAAGAAGTGTGTCCAGAAGGAAAGACAAGCAATCTATGTATTGTTCATTAGAATGGCTGTGCTTCACCAATAAGAAGCACAAAAATGGACTGCTATAGTGTAAATAACAAGTTATAATATAGATAGGGAATGGCAACTCACATGTCACTGGCTGGTTGATGGTGATTCAAGGCCAACCCTGATTGGCCTTGATGGTGATTCAAGGTGATTGAATCAAGGCCTTGATGGTGATTCAAGGCCAACCCTGAACGTAAGTATAGATATGCTTGATTTCACAGAGATTTTTAAATGAAAATTATTTATTGTGGACCTCAGAATAAAATCAATTAAATGTAAAGTATCTTCCTTTAAGACACTATTGACATGTATATGATAATATATCATTTAGATTAGTTGGGCAGCTTTTATTACCTACGTAGCTGTTGCTTGTTTGATTAAAAACTCAGGAAAACAGTGCTTTAGCAAGCCCCAATCAGGCCCTCTTTTTATTATAGGGGTAGTCACCCTTTTCTCACTGGAAGCTTAGATTCTGTAAAAATAAATAGGGCCATTAACACAATGCTGGATCAATATGATATAATGTCCAGTAATACACTCCATCTACTCGCTGCACTAACTAGTAGAATTGTTTTGTAAAATGCGTCTGCTTTTAGGCATTTTTCTAGTTTAGTAATAATATCATAAATCAAATATAGTTTCAGGGATGCTGGAGCATGAAACTATTCAAGGGGTCTCAGGGGTGAAGCCAACAGGGCTGCGAAAGAGAACATCCAGCATTGCTGATGAAGGGACCTACACATTGGACTCTATCATTCGCCAGCTGAATACCTTCCACTCAGTGATGTGTCAGCATGGAATGGATCCAGAGTTGATCAAGCAGGTAGTCAAGCAGATGTTTTATATCGTTGGGGCTGTGACCCTGAATAACCTTCTCCTGCGCAAAGACATGTGTTCCTGGAGCAAAGGAATGCAGATACGGTAAGTCATTGAATCGCCATGAAGTCTTTGAATTCCACGTAGTTGTTTAGTAACAGTTGTACTTTTAACATTTATTCCATCTCAAAGAAAAGCATGTTGGACTCTCCTACATTGATTTTGAAGGTTTCCTGCTCTCAATGTCTTATTAATCAAGAGCCTATTATTTAATTTAAGTACAAATCCTGGAAAATTGGAAAATGGGCAGAGAGCAACATTATTTCCCTTTCATCCTACAAGTAAGGATCAGCACACCAACTCAGATGGGCCACAGTTGGTCTTGCAAAGCTAGGGGGAATGGCAAATAAGATTTACTATTCAGGTGGATTCCTTCAGGGTTTGTAGCTCAGAAGATGCACACAGTGGTCCGACCAACTGTTGTTCCCTTGGGTCTTCCTAAGAGTTATTTTTTTCTAGAATTTGATGTCTGTTGTTCAGTTATTTATTTGCATACTGTTTGCATAGTTATTTTATGATAACTGAGCATCCAAATCCCCTAAGTGCTTTAAAAATCTTGGCCTACGTTTATAGAGGCAAAATCCTGCTAGTCTATCCATGCACATTGATCCTTTTGATGCAAGTGAGAGAAGCAAGGTTTAGCTTTATGTGTACAGAACCAAACAAGGAGGAGGAGTAGAAGATGGTACATTTGTCATTGTTTTCAAATAGTCTACCAGGTGTAAGGACTTTTAATGAAACAGTGCAGAATTGTTTAACAGTCTGTCTTAGGAAAATTAATCATGAAAATAAAATTGAGGGAAATTAAGAGTTGCTCTGTATGAGGGGAGTGCATAACAGCAACAAAGAATATTCATTAATGAAAGAGAAAATATAAGCTCTTTGATTTGGTCAGACTTTACAAGTCTTAAGAGTTTTCTCTTTTAACAGGTACAATGTGAGTCAACTTGAAGAATGGCTGCGTGACAAAAATTTGATGAATAGTGGGGCTAAAGAAACACTGGAGCCTCTCATCCAGGCTGCACAGTTGTTGCAGGTGAAAAAGAAAACAGATGAAGATGCAGAAGCTATCTGTTCAATGTGCAATGCTCTAACTACTGCACAGGTAATCCAGTACTCAAACATCTAGTCAGCTGCTACGTTAGAATGTGCCCCGAAGTTGTGCATCTTATAGGTCTACTTGTGCTCCCATCACACGTGGATTGAATATTTAGTCTCTTATTGTTGTAAATAGCATAATTAAGAAGGAGGAAAAGAGGGAATTGTCTCTCTTGAGGGCAGCATTTGAAATAAGTCCCATCCAGAGGAAAGGCAGGTCACAATGGTTGCCCAGTGTTCAGAATATGATGTGTGTGCATTCTCACCTCTTAGGTATTATACATGTGTAACTATTTTAATTTTTAAAAAAATCATACCCCTAATGAAAATCTGTGCAAAACCCATGTTACTCAGGGTTTGATTCTGACAATATAGGGGCAGCAAGAAAGAGATGCAAATCCACTGTATTACCACATGCCATTGAACTGCTGAACTCTGATCAGAAATGCAGAAATACTGCTGGTTTTGCACTCTAGGGAAAAATTCTACTTTTAAAAATTCTAAGGAGAATCATGTGAAAGAAGTTACAGAGAATTATGTTTGGGCTAAATACATTTATGTCCTATCATTTTAACTATTTTTGCTGAAGTCCTTTCTCTTGATTTTGGGACTTAGTCCTACATTTGGGACAGAAACTTGCTCACTTTGAAAGCACTGGAAGTTTTTTACGCTCTTTAACAGGAGCAGGGTGGAGTCCTAAGTATCAGACCAAAATTAAATAAAGGAAGTGGCAAAACTTCTATTAATTTTACTGGGCATAAAATAACATTGATCTACTTATTATTTATTTATTGTATTATCTGGCAGTTTATGCAGTGTACTGACCACTTTCCATACAAACATGAAGAACAGTGGTTCCTGCTCAAGAAAGCGCACGGTCAAAGGAGGCAATCTGAGTCTTAAACTTTTTATGTCATAACATCTGTTTATTATAATTTTCCTTGTTTTTTATTGTAAATTGCCCTAAGCCCTTTCTGGGAAGGACAGCATATAAATCTAATAAATAAGTAAGCTAAAATAAATAACCTAAAAGAATGTATAATAAATCTATCAAATAAATTACAATAACAATTGTAAAGAACTCCTATTGAAAGGTAATTATTTTTAAATGGTTGTTAGAAACAGGATATATAGTTCGATAGACTGAATCAAGAACTGTTACTTTTTTTGCAGATTGTAAAAGTTCTGAATTTGTATACTCCAGTTAATGAGTTTGAAGAAAGAGTCTTGGTATCATTTATACGTACGATACAGGTAAGACCATGGTTTTTTTTACCATAAATTGTTCAGATAGCTCTAAAAGATTGTGAACCAAAATAGGTTATGCCATAAAGTTCAGTAATCTTTTCTAAGTAAAGCAGGCTTTATTAGTCACTTTTCTTTTTCTTCTAACCTAAAAGTGAAACCAATTATCAGATTTTTTTAAGCAGTCACAATTTTGATTGCTATTTGCAGATTTAAATGAATTGAAATATTTAATTGCTGCTTCCATCACTTTTTCTGTACTTTTTAAAATGAATTAATTATGCCTGATTTTCAGATGATTTCCTTTTGTTCTTGTGTAACTTTGCACGTGCACACTCCAGTAGTTCCCACTTGTCAAGTATTAACATTTTATTGTGTGGAAGTGCTCAAATTTAAAGTCTGTTTCTTCAAGATGACTTGTGTGAATACAATTTGAGAAGACTTCAAAAATTGAGTCAATCATATCAAAATCTTTAAACGTAGTTATTTTTGGAAAGAGCTAACAAGAAAGAAAAAAACTGCAGCATTTTATAACTTCAAAGGGTGGGCAATTTAAAAAGCAATTTTAAAAATTAATTAAGTGGTCTTTCTGGGTTTGCTGAGAAAATAATGCCATTTTTAGCATAATAGAGGAGACTAACCAAATAGAACTAAAATGAAACAAAATCATTTTGTTTGCCCTATAAGTAGTCCATTTAACATTTCCTGGACAGGTTCTTTGCCACCTATTTCAAAAAATTTAAATGTTAATCTAAAAAATCTAAAGTAAAAATATACTGGCCACAAGCTACTTGAAGCCCACATTAGCTTATGGGTATAATGGTTTCAAAGGGTCCATACCAAGTCACCAAATGTGCTTGTATATGATCTGTGTTTTTCATGAGAGTGTTTATCATGAGACGATTCAATGAAAATCAACCTTCAAGAACTTGTGTTTCTCTTTACTATTTGCTTTCTCAAAAGAATGTTTAAGGTTGGCAGAGTAGTAGTAACCGCAAATGAAATAACACTGTTCCATATGGAACTTGTTGCCACAGGAGGTTGTAGAGGCAGATAATATAGCCAGGTTTAAAAAGGGACTAGACAGATTCATAGATCATGGGTCCATTAATAGTGAGGAAACAGAACAACCTGGGATGTTTCCTCCAACTTCCCTAACCCCCTAGGAAGGCGTTTGATCAAGCCTGCAGAGGTGCAGTCCAACAGAGGGGATGATTGGCACAGAGCTGCATCCTCTGCAGTGCTCCCGTGTACTGTGGAGCCTGCTGCTCCACTGCATCTGGGCTTCTCCTCACTACAGAGCAACTGGGAATCTGAAGCGAAGTTCTACATAGACAGCTGGTTTCTGGGAGTGGGCAGGAAGGGCAAAGACTTGTGGTCTGCAATGATGGTCAGCTTTGGCTCATGCCAGCAAAAAGTTGCTGATCCCTGCTGCATATATATACCCATTCATATGCTCTCCTACTAAAGCATCTACAGAGTAGTGAGTTAGATGGACTATTAGTCTGACTTAATGGCATTTCTTATGTTCCGGTTACAAAGAGCAATTTTTTTATATCTATATATATCTACATATATAAAGCTACTTAGTTTCAGCATGATTATTTTTAATGTGCCTTCTCCAAGAGATCAAATAATAACTCTCTATTTCTTTTCCTTTTAGATGCGTTTACGAGACAGAAAAGACTCACCTCAGTTGCTAATGGATGCTAAACATATTTTTCCTGTTACTTTTCCATTTAACCCATCCTCTCTTGCATTAGAAACCATTCAAATTCCAGCCAGCTTGGGTTTAGGATTCATCTTGCGTGTCTGAACCTAAAGATGCACTGTCAGCTGTTGACATTGAGTCTGAAATCTTAATCCATTAAAACATTGTGAGCCACTGAAAACACACTTTTTGAAAGAGCAATATGTATATACCTAGGCCTTTAGTATTGGGCAGCTGGAAAACTAGGAAACTGTACTGCAGCTAAAAAGCTGATAGAAAGTGTTTATTTGCATCAGTTATTGTTTTTATGCAGACATATTGTTTGTTATGTTTCCAGAATATGCATGTAGGTCTTGGGCAAAAATTGTGTCTTCAGCTGCATAGAGACATTTTTAGATCTTTAGTAACATATTTAAATAGTGTAAATTAAAATCCATTCATGATCTACTCATAAGTGAGGACTGATAAGGACAGTCACAACACTATAAATAGAGGACTTAAGTAAGGTGTTTTGTAGTAGAATACATAGTCACTGAGAATCTGTTTTCTTTAAATCATCAAAACTGGAATGGGGAAACAAAAACTGGCAATATAAAATAATTTGTTAATTGGCTTCCTTATTTTTGTCACTATGACAAATTATGGAGTGTTTAAAAAGTCTTTCAGCTTACTATATGGTATAACATAGGTATTCATTTGTTAGTACAGTGGTTTACTAAGCCTATTTAATTGCTGCTGCATATTGTGTTCTTTTAAATGTACGACAGTATCCTTTTAGGCGCTAAATATTAAGAAACTTCACTTTTTTATTATTGACTTTGTTTACAGTCCAATGCAGTCCTTTCTTTTAACTGGATTTATGCAAGTGTCAAGAAATCATCTGTAAAGAAAAATGGTAACTAAGCACAAGTAGCACACTGGAAGTTATATGATAGTTTACTTTAAAGCTATCTTTTCTTAAAAGTAGTTTACTAAAAATATTTAGTGTCTTGAGGCAAAATGATCAAATGTCAATCATTGTTTTAGTATTTATTTAGATTTTGTAGTTTGTCAAGCTTTTCCTGTGTTTGTTTTTGTCCCCTGAAGTGTCAGTGTTGTATTTTCAATATCATCGTCCATTTTTTTTCATTGACTTTTTTGAGACATCATCTCAAATACCTAGAGTTGAAAGGAGACATTTTTTGATTGAGAATTCCTTGAGTAGCCCAACACATTACTTTATGGATATACTGGCTATCAAAAACACACACCAAACACTGACTGAGAGAGAAACTTTTTGAAAACTAAGCTTCTGTGTCTGTCCACATAGTGCATGCATGAAAAATAGTTTTAACAGGTTCCATAAAGTATTCTGTAAAGTATTCTGTGGTGTCAGAGATGCAGCTTGTGGGGCTCCTGGAAGGGCCAGGAATTTGGGGGGCAGGGTAAGGCCCTCTGCCAAAATCCTGGATACAGAGCCCTGTTGGGAATGTGTTTTGGCAGTGGCCAGGTCGAGTGTTAATCACTGTAGCTGCCTGAGCTGACACAGCACTGCTTGCCCCACTGCTGCCAACACTCACTCAACCACCAGAAGTAGGTTCAAATCTGGCCTGGGGGAGCTGAGTGAGTTTGACAACCCCACTGTAAAGATGCAGAGTGCAGTGACAAAATGAGTTGTTATGGTACTTTGCTTCCTGTCAGAGAGAACGTCCCCCCTTGCATGTCTCAGACCTTGCTCCAGTGTGGAATTCACATTTCAAAATGTGCAGCAACAAGTCAGAGGCCTTGCTTAACTTTCTGATTCTGAATCTTAAAAGGTATGGTCAGTGATATACGGTTCAAATATACATATGAAAAAAAGCATTACTCTGTTGTAGTGTACAATATTTCTAGTGTATTATAAACATTAGTAATTTTCATGTTAACATTAACTTCTTCAGAAATATAGAGAAGTAATCTGTAGGTATGCTGTTAGAATGTGCTGGTACTAACCAGTTTGCCTGCAACCTTAACGAATAATTTTTCTATCAGTAAAGGAGACCAGTGCATTTCAGTTGTTTTCCTTGAGAAAGACATATAGCTTTATATATGGTGGCTGATAAAATGTGTAATAAAGAAAGCTTGACCTTTTTTCAGTACCATTTTGAAATGCTTATGTCTTTATTTCCTAAAAGCGTGCCACTTTTTGCTTATTGCTCACTACTGATACATTCAGAAACCTTAAAAGAAGCATCTTATCTATATTTTGGATGCTCTTTGCTAAATTATTTAAATTATTTGCTTATGCAAAGTAAACCAAAAGCTCTTCATTCAAATATGTTTGTTATTTAATTTCTGAAATAAACAATACTGTACATTGTCCCCAAATACAGCATAATGGCATGGCATATTAACCTTTCAAACTTCAAAAGGTAATATATTTGTTACTATGTAATGACAAATCAGTCACATCCAGTAACAGTGTAAAACCAGGAAATAGGGAAAAATAAAATCTTTATACACCTATTGAAAGAAAACTGGCATTACAGTATGTTTTTACTGTAGATCATAAAATATATCTACTATTCAAACATTCAGCGTATGAAACTATGACTAAAATGTATTTTTGTTTATTTTTAAAATTTGTTTACCTGTAAAAAGCCTTACTGTATCTTGTTTCCTTAACAAAGTAGTTGTTATTTATAGGTATGATCCGTAAACTCAGTGATTTAACTGGTGTTACTTTTATATCACATTAAAAGTGTGTGCTGCTTGACATGTTTTAAAGGAAAATGTTTTTGAGTTGAAATAGATGTGTACTTGGTAAATCATCTAATACTTTACATAACAGTATTTTACATGCACTTTTCAGAAGTAAGAACTTTAGTGATGGTGTATTATATTTTTAAAAAAATCTTTCACCTTGGGTTTAAGGTCTCTAAATAACCATGGGAACTAACACGCAAGCCTCTTTTAACGATTTTCCTTTTCCTTTGAATCATGGTTATGCTCTTTTAATGTGGACATATCTTTTATATTTTAATTCATTATCTATCGGTATGGTAGATTCTGTTGGATGCTGGAAAATGTTAATTTGTCAATGTCCCCTTTGAAATACACAACTAACCTAAAGATGCTGCACAATATTTACCTCATTGAGGTCTAGTCAGACTTTTGGAACGTAATCTCCTGTCAAATTTTAGCAAATTGCTACCCAGACCTTAATCTGGGATGAAACTTGAAATACTTAAAAGGTTTTGCTTCATTTAAGTGTGATTATATAGTCTACTTGATCAGAAGAGGAAAATAGAGGTATACTACATTTGTGGAAAGTTGATTTATATCCATTAACATTTATTCCCTACTTAGAAACACCAGCATTTGAAAAATGAAGGTCTATATCATTTAAGATTTAAAATTTCAAAATACACATTTCAAAAATGCCATACAAAAATTAGGAGAGAATTATGTCTTTTTTTAAGATGCTGATAATACATCTGATAATAAAGCCTTTAAACATAGGTTTTCACTAGATATGACTACAATACATAGATGAAAACCAAAACAATATCAGAATGACATAAGCTCTGAACTGTTGTAGTGTCTGATGTTGTACTTAGTAAATGTGTGCATCATAAACACTGTATCCTATTAGCTATCACTGAAAAAAATGTCCAAATAAAAATACAACTCTAAGACTCTGTTTTTGGTTTTTGTGTATACATAAAATATGAGACCATTGCAGACTTGGCAGAGTTCTTACAAGCTGGACCCTTATAGGTTGATGTGTTAGGACCCTACCTACTAGGCCCAAATGCTCTCATTTTGGGGAGTCTCCTGTTTTTGTTTTTGTTGTGCGTTTTTTGGGGTGGCGGGGGGAAGGGTGGCAGTTGGCCTAAATAGGCTGCACCATTATTGTTTCTTCTCTAAACCTCTCTGACACTGGCTGTCCATGTGCCCAGCTCTCCTCATCCCCTAAGAGCAGTGTTAGTCCCCTCAGACTCTCAGTAGTTTAAGCATGCCCTTCAGTCATGTGGGCAATTGAGTTTTCAAGTTAATATTCCAGTGGTACATGGGAGATGTGGCACACTCACTGCACACACGAACTTTGCACAGGATTATAACACTAGTTGCTCTTCACTTAGATACAAATACACAAATTGAGACAAAATAATAAACCCTAAATGTAGTCCCTTGCCTTGATTTACCCACTGCTCTGAAGTATTCTTAAGTCTGATCCTTTGGTGTGTCCGACACATGAAGCTTTCATATCTCTGCCCTAGGTCAGCCTGCTTGCTTTGATCTTGCTTGGTCCTGCAGTTAAGCTACTCTCCCCTCTCTGTTATGGAAGTATGCCCAACTCTTCCTTTGACCTAATGCTGCTTATGTGGTACTGTGAGTCTTGTTTTATATGCTAGCTTTATCATTTCCCTCTTTGTTCTATTTAACTCTCCCTGCAGAAAAAGTTGGGAGGCTAACTTTTCCCTAGTTCAGTGAACTTCCTTAGCACACCTATTTTCCAGATAGGTTGCCCTTGATAAGGTTCACAACTTCCCATTGCCTCTGGTCTGGTGAGCATGGTGTACAGTCCCTGTCAGCAAATGGTAAATTAAAAAATGCAGCAGTTTCATAGTTTGTAGGGTTGGAAGAGACCTTGACAGATCATCAAGTCCGAACCCCTGCCGTGGCAGGAAAGAGCACTGGGGTCAAACGACCCCAGCAAGGTGTTCATCTAGCCTCCTCTTAAAGACCCCCAGGGTAGGAGCCAGCACCACTTCTCTTGGAAGTTGGTTCCAGATCCTAGCCGCCCTGACAGTGAAGTAGCGCCTCCTGATGTCTAGTCTGAATCTATCCTCTGCCAGCTTGTGACCGTTATTTCTAGTCACTTCTGGTAGTGCTCGGGAGAACAGGGACTCCCCCAATGCCTGCTGGTCCCCCCCGACAAGTTTGTAACAGGCCACTAGATCCCCACTCAGCCTTCTCTTGCGGAGGCTGAACAGGTTCAGGTCCTGTAGCCTCTCCTTGTAGGGCCTGCCCTGCTGACCCCTGATCATGCGGGTGGCCCTCCTTTGGACCCTCTCGATGCTGGCCTCATCCCTCCTAAAGTGCGGCGCCCAGAACTGGACGCAGTACTCCAACTGTGGTCTGACCAGTGCTGCATAGAGGGGGAGGATCACCTCCTTAGACCTGCTTGAGATGTGTCTGTGGATGCATGACTAGGTGCAGTTGGCCTTCCTGACCGCGTCCCCACACTGTTGGCCCATGTTCATTTTGGCATCAATAATGATTCCAAGATCCAATTGCTCACTGTCAACTACAATGCACTGTTTTTTTCTGTGGCTTTTAGGATATCAAATGAATATATCAAAAGTCCATTTAACAGAGATTCATTGAAAAGCCAGACTAGATGTGATTTTTTTTCCCAGCTTTTATACCTTATTAAAACAGATTTATTACAACAACTTGGTAATATAACAATAGCACTATCCAACTCATTGGGAATTTTTCTATTAACTTTAGAGGGAGTTAGTTTCATCTCTGTGGTGTGTGTGTGTGTGTGTGTGTGTGTGTGTAGATTTCATAGATTTCTAGGGTTGGAAGGGACCAATTAGGTCATCAAGTCTGACCTCCTGCTCTGGGCAGGAAGGAGCACTGGGGTCAAGTAACCCCAGCCAGGTGCTTGTCTAATCTGCTTTTGAACACCTCCAAGGTAGGGGAAAGCACCACCTCCCTTGGAAGCCCATTCCATATTTTGGCAACCCTCACCATAAAGAATTTCTTCCTGATGTCCAATCTAAATCTAACCTCTGTCAGTTTATGGCCGTTGTTTCTAGCAACCCTGAGGGGAACCCTGGTAAACAGAGTATCCCCTATTCCCTGCTGCCCCCACCCCCGCCCTCCAGTGAGTTTGTAGACAGCCACAAGATCACCTCTCAGCCTTCTCTTGCAGAGGCCGAAGAGATTCAGGTCCCTCAATCTGTCTTCATAGGATTTTATCTGCAGGCCCTCAACCATACGAGTAGCCCTCCTCTGAACCCTTTCCAGGTTATCCACATCCCTCTTGAAGTGCAGCACCCAAAACTGGATGCAGTACTCCAGCTGCAGTCTCACCAATGCTGCATAGAGGGGAAGTATCAGCTCCCTAGACCTGCTTGTGATGCACCTACTAATGCATGACAGTGCGGTTAGCCTTACTTATTGCCTCAGCACATTGGTGACTGATGTTCATTTTTGTGTTGACTATGACTGCAGGATCCCTTTCCACTGCTGTGCTACTTAGAATGGTATTTCCCAGTCTATAGGTGTATTGGTGATTCTTTCTCTTCAGGTAAAGCACTTCACACTTATCTTTGTTAAACTGCATCCTATTCTGTTCTGCCCCCTTCCCCAGTCTGTCCAAATCTGCCTGAATTCACTCCCTAACCTCTAGTGTGTTTACTATACCCCATAATTTCATGTTGTGTGCAAATTTGGACAGAGTGCTTTCTACACCCTCATCCAAATCACTGTTGAAGATATTGAACAGCACCGGTCCAAGGACAGAGCCTTGTGGGACACCACTGCCCACATCTCTCCAGGTAGAAACTGACCCATCCACCACCACTCCGTGTGGGTCCCATAAGCCAGTTTTCCACCCACCTGACTGTGAAAAAATCAACGTCCCAGCTACTTGGTGTCGCACCCAATTCTTACAAGTAAACTGTGTGAAAGGCCTTTTTAAAATCCAAGTAAATAACATCTACCTCTACTCCTGCATCTAAGCACTTTGTGACCTGGTCATAAAAAGAGACCGGGTTAGTCGGGCAGGATCTGCCTGCTATAAACCCATGTCAGTTGCCCCTTAACATTGTATTACCTGCTAGCCCCCCACAAATGTGATCTTTTATGATTTTTTTCTAAGGTCTTGCAAAGAATAGAGGTGAGGCTAACCAGCCTATAATTACCTGGGTCCTCCTTCATCCCCTTCTTGAAAATATGGACCACATTGGCCCTTTCCCAGTCTTCTGGGACCTGTCCTGAGTGTCACGAGTGCTCAAACAATTTCAACAGTGGTTTTGCTGTGACACTGGCCAATTCCTTTAATACCCTTGGGTGAAGATCATCGGGGCCTGCTGACTCAAGTATGTCCAACCCCTCCAACTGCCCCTTCACCAGGTCAGCGCTAACTGTTGGTGGATTGGTATCTCTCTCAAGCCAGACTGAAGTCTTGTTGGGAGGTGTGTTTGTATCCGTGACCAGGATCACAGATGCAAAGAAATCATTTAAGAGCTCAGCTCTGTCCATCCTGTCTGTTACGAGTTGCCCTAGTCCATCCCGTAGCGGCTCTATGTTACCCTGCGCAGCCTTCTTGCTCCCTGTGTACTTGAAGGGTAACAAAAAGTCCTTCTTTATCTTTGTTGCTGGCCTGAGTTCCATTTCTGCTTCGGCCTTCCTCACTGCTTCCCTGCAAGCGCAAGCCAAGCGGTATGCTCCTCCTTGGTGGTTGTCCCCTGCTTCCACCATCTGTAAGCCTCTCTCTTCCCCTGTAGGCTCTCCTGGATTTCCCTGCTCAGGCAAGAGGGTTTCTTGGCTCTTTTGCCTCCCTTTATATGTACTGGGATGGTGCCCCTGTGCCTGCAGGATCAGTCCCTTGAGGAAATCCCACCCCTCCTGGACTCCCAACTCGCGGATATCATTACCCCTCAGTCCTCCTCTTACCAATCTCCTGAGCTCATCGAAGTCTAGCCCTTCTGCCCTACTACTTATCTTTTTCACCTTAACGCCGGATAGTGAATCCTATCAACAGGTGATCACTACCCCCTGGATAACCTGGTACCTGCAGATCCCCCCCACAACAAAGTCCTCCCCTGTGGCCAGCACCGAGTTGAGTGAAGCACTTCCCCTAGCAGGACTGCATCCCCCCGCTAGCAGGTTGCTGTTACGCGTGTGCGCGCGCATGCTGTGAATTTCTTAAAGATTTCCCCGAGATAAATCGTTCCGTTTGTATGAACAGCTATACTGAGGCATAAAACGAGTGCCTGTGTGTACAGTAATAACTATAAAAGTCAAGAAAGTTCTCGTACAAACCACATTAAAAGTTAATACTGACTTTTTATTTGGTTTTCCGCACTCGTTTATTTTGAAGGCTCGTTTTAAAATCTTTTCCTGTCCTCTGTACTTTTGAAAATCTCCTCTCCACCATCGAGCGACAGCACAGCCCGCCCTCACGCGGCCGCAGCTTGAGGTCTGAGCTCCGTCCAGCCCGGATCCTCCCCCCCACGTGCCCCCCCCCCCGCCCGCCCCCCCCCAGCCACGGGCACCCCGCCCTCGCCCTCGCCCTCGCCCGCCGAGGTGTCGCCGGACCTCGGATACACGCGTTTCACACGAGTCCGGGGGCGGGGGAGGACTCCGCCTGGGCTGGGCGGCTGCG